CCCATTTTATCATGCTAGCTAGGGACGTGTACAACAGTTTGTCGAAATGCCACTGGAAAGGTCAGGTCTCCACGCTAAATAGCCACGTGAGTTCACAGCCTTTCGAGGTTCCAAAGTTGTTCTTCATTCAATGGCTGTCCTCTCGCATATCTGTCTGGGAAAACAAAGTGCATCGTTTCTCATCTACACAACCTGAGATGGATTTTCCCCTAAGTGGACTTGCTTCCGCCTCTCGGAGTGTAATTGCATTATGAATAAGGTTAGCATGATATGGATGCGATTACTGGACTCTACAGATCATTAAATGAAATCGACCGTGGTCTAATCCACTCGGTGCTGCCTACGACACTGGGTCGGTTGTAGCGAAGTAGCAAACGATGGGACAATGAATTGAGTAGCAATTTACCGCGCTTGACGGATTGAAGTCTTGATTCCACCTGTAACTGGTTTGTCATGCAGCTGACAGACAATGCATCGTTATTCACTTCCACCACGGGTGTTGCGAAAGTCCTTCCAAAGCAAAGTTACGAAGTATGCAAAAGCATCAGACAGCACTGCGAAATGCAGGCTAAGCATTTGATAAGGGGTCAGTTTGGGATGTGACTTAAATTAGGATTCGCCAGTTCATTTCCATTCTTTAGCAGCTAGCACAATAAGTAGTTGCAAACAATGCTGCGAACACCGCTGCTCAACTTGCTAAAGGAGTTGTAATGAGCGTCAAGCTTTAGCATTATACAGACGCCAAATTTAAACCATGTTTGCAGTATGAGCTCCCACTGCGATACCTATGCCGTTTAAATGGTTTTTCAGGGAGTAGCAGACACAAATGGAACCTTGTGACTAGGGAGCTGCCATCATTTGACAACCTGGAGAAAATTTCCTCGTCCAAACCTACCTAAACTTGTACCCTCCCGCCATTTGCCGTAGACAGTAGACCTGGCAAAAGCAAATCAGTCTAAGTGTCTCAAGAGCCTAAAGAATAGTGAAAAGGAGAATAACTAGCCTAGTCCTACATCTACCATTTAGACCCCACCATGTTCAGAATTTACGAGTCTCTGACGATTTTCCTGCATTTCAGGATAAAAGCGACTAGAATCTACCTTTGTTATAAGGTACTTGTCTAAATATGCTTAATGCTAGTACCTTGATCGTTTCTCCCTGTCAGTATTTTTTAGTTGAAATTTGTTCACTGTATATAAATGGCTACTCAACTCCACTGCTAAGTACTTACTTGCTTTATTGTTAAATAACTAAACACCTGTCGTTATTTGCGCCAAATCTAGTGGAAATATTTGGATTGTTGATCGAAACCATTCTTTGTATTTGCCAAAAATGGCACTATTTTGGCAGTCTTCGTGCCAACATGCTGTACGGTGCACTTATAATCAATATTTTAAAGCTCAGAGATTAATTTTGGTCTTAGAATAGGCATTCATTTAGTCTTAAAAGGTGGTTGCTTGTGTTTGGGCAAATCAGTTCAACAGATACTAGTGACCTTTGTGCTCGCAAATTTTCGTAAGGCGTTATCTTCTGTCTTTATAAAAAGCGACTTTCATTGCAGTTGCCAACACCGTGGTTGGCATCTCCACTCCCTTATCACACATTTTCCTCTCCGACCTAGACAACATCTTTGATTCTCATACTCTTGGCTGTTTTAGGATCGTTATTCAGAGAATGGCCACTTTGGGTGTCGTTGCCTTCGTAGTCGCCTACATCCAGATGTTTTATCTGCAGCTCTGTGCTCGGAGACAGGCCAGATAAATAGAATGCCTCCTCTTCTCAATTACTCTTTTTGCAACAAGTCATTGACTTTATCAGGGTGCTTTGTGGCAAGACGTTGGCAATGTAGGGACTCCTATAACTCGACTGACCGAAGAAGTAGATAAAGTTGAAGTTA